GTTGTAAATCGTGTTTTTAAAAAGTAACTAAGTAACTAAGTAATTAATTACTTTTGAAAATAAGTAATCAGTAAAGTAACGGGATTACTTTTTGGGGGAAGTAATCAGTAATTAGTTACTGATTACTTTTTTCAAGTAACTTGACCAACACTGCTCGTGAATCATGTCTGCACGTGAGGATAAAATAAAATCCCTGAATCAGTCGGAGAGGAAAACCGGGTGAAGGCCGTGACATCCACACCTGAAGCCTTCGTCTAAACGTGACCTGCACTCTTCACCTGTTACAGAAACAATGTGAAGCTGTCAGTGGCAGATCACCGTGCAGACCCTAGTATGTTTATGATGACAGATGAAACCTGTATCCGAGTGCTGATGAATTCCTGCTGGAATCTGTAACCAGAGCAGCACTTTGAAACCTTCATGTTGGTTGGAAGAAGCAGGAAGTCACAGCCTGTTCAGAGTCAGAGAGAAACACGAGGAACTTGGAAAGCTTTAGTGTCGAGAGGAAAAATACCAAAGTCTGTCCTCTTCTTCAGAATCCACCTGTGAGACAGGTGTGCAGGCTTCATTTAAAGGCAGGGGAATTACTTCATGATTATATCCGGGTCCAAGTACATTCAGCTCCCAAAGGCCAAAGTTTGAGTTAAAAATGATCCAGATTCTTTCAGCTCTAATAAAACGATCAGTGTTTCTGTTCTCCAGATGTTACACATGCATGGAAGACGATTATGAGACCAGCAGGATGTTTGATAGTTTCCTGTAAACATGATATAAACATTCAAAATGAAAACCTGAGACACAATAATGGTCAAAGTTGTTATCAGCCACAGAGCTGTAAGCACACAAGAACAGGCAGACAGAGGATGGGGTTAAACTTCATGTCGAGGGTCCCTGACAGCACGAGACAAACGCCGTCACATGACAGGAAGTGACAATGAAAACAAACCAAACTTCAGCCGAGAGAACGTCTGAGAGGATCCATCATAGCACGAGGTCAGTCATTAATAAGCTGCGTGGTTTGGATTATGTTTGAACCTTAATTTCACTTTAAGCTCACGCGGAGCGCGAGGGCCGGACGCTGCACATACCCAGGCCTGACGAAGAGGATGCTGCTCATCTTTATCACATCAGTGTGGTTATGGAGACTGTTGGAGACAAACTGGAGCTCTGTCTGTTAGCACAGCTGCCATGTTATTGATCAGATAATGTGGCCACGCCCCCAAGTCATATTCCAAGTTAAACAGGTGACTTATAAAACAAATGGCCTGAGATCATCTACAGAGACAAAAACAGGCTTCGTTAACTCTTCATCTCCTGATGGTGAACAATCAGATCCTACTGATCGTCCAATCAAACACACTGATTTAGTTTACATCATAACAACGATCAGGCTCAAGCTTTTATTTCGTCTCGTTACTCAGTGACTCAGTGTTTTCTTATTAATGTGGCGAGCATCTATATTTGGACTTCACGGGTAAACGTGTCACGCCCTGCACGGCAGGTTTTTAATGTTTTCTAATTACTGCCTCACAACAAACATGCTGCAGGCAACCTGACAATGTGCAACAACAACAACAGCTCAGAGCTCCAACCATCAGCGTGCTTAAGAGAAAAGACAGAACAGAAATATCTGAGTTAAATAAAGAGCTGGAAAGTCATCGTAACCACTTGAGGTCGAGTGGTTTCTCTTTGAAACTCGAATTTAACTGGGAGCAGTGACTCAGAGGGGATAACCGCTCGTAGAGCTCAAGGCGAGTGAGAACTAGAGCAGCAGGGTGCCACAGATTCAGCAGCATCCTCTCAGACAAAGGTGTCATAATAACTCTATAAACATGCATTAGGAGACGTGGCTGCTCCGTAAATGTTAGCTGATGAAGCAAAATCAGTTTTATTCCACTGAGTGCTGGAGTACGAGGGGGTCAGGCCCACCCTGACCTGAAGAGTTTGAGTTTGAGTGAGTTATTTGAGGGCACGGGTCAGTCACTCATCACGTCCCACAGAGAAGATCTCGTGTGTCACATTAACCATTAATCTGCATATTTCTACAACACAACCTCCACCTTTCTCCCGCGCTGCCTGTTTAACTCCCTCGACATTTTTCTGCTGATGCACACAAAGCCGTGCATGACTAAACTAGCTCAGCTCAGAGCTGCTGCCTTCTGATTTCAAAACAGCGCCAGCGGCGGTAAACAGCCACTCTGAGACGTTAACCTCAGCAGCTCCCTCGCTTCTGCAAACACAGAGCCGTAACTACCAACAGCGAGGTGCTGGGACAGTGAGGGGCCAAAGCCAGGCACCGGGGGTCTTATTTCGATTTTAGATCGATATACAGAAGATCAATATATTCAAGCATTACTTACAGTACACTGCTTACCAACAGGCTGCCTGATGCCTTTGATCATAATTAAATCTTCAAATAGATTAAATGAGTCTAAATGTGAGCAAATCTAAAAACATTAAAGAGACAGATCTCAGATAACAGACATACTTTGACTACTTTTGACCCAAATGTGTCCAAAGATGCAGATGTGGGACAAAGACATGTCTGTTATTCTGGAAACTACAAACATGATCATAATATAAACACGTGAATGTGTAAAATAACGAAAAACAAAAACAAACATGGAGTGTATGTGGGACAGTGCAAATCTAACCCGGGAGCTCCCGTGTGTGCCACATGTGGGCTCAACATGAACACTGTGACCTGCATCAGCTCAAAGCTGCGTCCCTGCGGACTGTGTGACCTGCGCTCACAGCTGAACGCTCAGAATAACTTCAGAGAAAGTTTGTGTCTTACGTGTAGCTGCTGAAGCTCTCCAGCTCATCGGTGTCAGGGAAGAACACCTCTCCTCCTCCTCCTCCTCCTCCTCCTCCTTCTCGGGCTTTGTCTTTGGATTTCTTCCGTTTCAGCTTGAACGGCAGCAGCCGCCGTTTCTTCTTTTCTTTCGGGGAATTGAGTGAAGAGTCCCCGGGTAGAGTCGGGTTGTCTCCCGGGCTGAGAGAGCCGGGGCTCCAGGGTGGCCCCCCCGGGATGTCCGCGGGGTTGGTCCCTGCACCCACTACATCTTTGAGGGACCCCGACCTCTTCAGCTCCTTCTTCTCCTTCTCCGGTGATTTGAGGCTGAATAGTTTCCGGACTTTGAGCGTGCTGGACTTACTCATGGTGTCCGCCGTGTGAGCAGGAGCACAGCTGCTCGCTGCAGGAGCACTCAGGCACTGACTCTCCGGGCGAACCTGCAGAGCGGGTTACCGCGAGCGCACGGACGTGCCCACACCGGGTGCGCGCAATCAGGTAGAAGAAAGGTGAACCAATAAGAGATCCCCAAAATGAAAACTCACAAGACTGCACCTCAGACTTTAACAGTTCAAATAAAATCATATTTTATTGTTATTCTCTCTCCACGCGCCTGTCATAGACTGTATATAAAAGATGGAAGTAGGCACCATCACCAACTGTAATTTTTATATGTTTGAAACTTTACAATAAAGTTGAACTTTAAACAGATGACTTTAAAAAATAAACAAACATGTGTCATAAAGGTAGAAATTATCTATAGAGACCAAATCAGGTTTTTCTTTTTTAAATCAGACTGAACGTGTTTCTCTCTGTGGTGAAGTTTAAACTGTGGGACTGACTCACTGCTGGAGCCTCCGGTGGATGCTACAGGAACTGCAGCTTTTAATGCGAATTTAAAAAATATGAAAGGTTTTTTTTTTTTTTTAGCTTTTTTTATACTATTATCAACTGATGATTTATAGAAATAACTTATTGATTCAATTGTTTGAAGTTTGTAACAAAATAAATATTCTGAAACACATGAACGTTTGTAACGTAGCAACTGGAAGTTATTTTCATTCCTAGTTGAAGCCATTAAAACCCAAATATTTCTATTCACGTATTAAATTTAAGAAAATGTCACCAGTGCTTGTAAATTAATTGTCTTGGTTCTGAAAATGTTTAATTCTTTTTCATTTGATTAATTAACCATTTGCTGTGTTGTCTTGTTGCACACATATTTCTTCAGACAGATCATCAGTGCATGTCTCACTAACACATGTATGATGTCTGCTGTCATGAATATGCAGCTCAGCTCGTTTCAGAGGGAGATGTTCCTCTGTGCAGGTTAGAGAGCTGAACGCACCGGGAGGTTAAAAAAGCTTCAAATTTACAGGAAGAAATCTGCTGTTTGCAGAAAGGCTGAAACTAAAACTGTCATCAGAATGAGCTTCACTAACAAACAGGCAAACACATCTGCAACAGCTGGATGCTTTCATTCACTCAATAAAAATAAAAAAATAATATGAAAATAGAGAAACATAAATCTGTTCAGGTCACAGTTTGGATACCTGCACCTTCCTCCTGAGGCCATCAGCTCATACCTGTGCAGGATACCTGTGTGTTTTAAGGCCCCGCCCTCTCTCTGTTTCATGGAGAAAAGAGAGCAGCAGCAGCAGCAGCAGCAGCATGCGGATTTCATTTCTTTCTGATCAGGTTTTTAAATTATTAAAAAATACAGGTAACTACACCTGTGGGGGTCGTTTGGGGTTGAGGGTCCTAAATTAAGGAGATGGATGAATTGTGTTAGAGTAAAAGATAAAATGCATATATTAAAATATTGGATGAAAAGCTCAGCAAGACTTGTGACCCGCGGGACAAAAATAGGTTATAACCAAAAAATAAAATAAAAAAAATGGTCAAATAATTAAAAAGAAATAAAACAGTAATAATAAAATTCTGAAAAGTTTATACAAAAACATTGAAAGAAATGTGAAATACAAAACAGTAATATTATAAAGCCAAAAGCTAGAAGTCTTTAACTTTTACTAAAGGAAATGAAATATCGAAATAATCATACCTTAGTTTTGCATTTTTAACCAACAGATTTAATTTAATTTAAATAAACATTTAAATAAATAACAATGAAGCATTTAGCAGATGACATTATATTTATAAAGCATTTAATTACATTATTTATTAATGCTGCAAAATATTTGACTAAAACATTTGATGATTATTCAGTAATATAGCTCCACCTGCTGGTCAGAGAAGCACAGGACTGATGAAGAGGAGTACATGCAGGTGTCTGAGCCCACGTGAGAACACAGCAGCTATGTTGAGTTTTGGTGTTATAATGATTAATTTGACTTTAATCATCTGCTGTGTGTTTCCGTCCATGAGCACGAGTCTGTCACAGGTCGATGAAACCTTTAAGTGAAACTTTATTCTCATACACAGCTTTTGTTTTTGATGATGAGATGATGAGATAGACTTTATTTGTCAGTTGCAGTTGCCCACAACCGAGATGACTGACCTTGCCGACCGTACATACACTACACAAACATCACATTGGGGAGACAGGTCAGGCCAGGTAGCGAGGAAAAAAAAATCAGTGAAATGTGTAACACAGAAGGATAATACAGGAATGCACAGATATCAACACACCATAGCAAAATAAACACAGACAGCAACATGGGAGAGTGTTCCAGTGTGTACAGCTGATCTGGGAGCGCGATCGCACCTCCAGCTGATCTGCTGTCCACATCGGATGGGAGGTAAGCGTGAGAGGAGGCGTTGATTCGGAGGAGGGAGGGTGATAGTGAGGGCGTATCAGTATCAGTGTACATGTTTCGTGCGTGTGCATGTGTGTGTGTATCCTGTGTTCAGCTGAGAGAAAGTGTCACCACGCCCGGTAAAGCAAAGGTCAACAGTCTCCAGTGGACGGATGAGAAGCTCACCTTGAACGCAGCTCTCTGATTTTGTACTGAACTCTCTCGTTCTTACCTCAGCACTGACATCGCTGTCGTCTCTGAGACACAAAAGACTTTTTCAGCAGGTACTCGTCAGCTGAAACT